CAGATAGGGTACAAAATAGTTAGGTTTAAAAAGATTATAAATTATATTGATTAGATGTCATTTTCAAAATGTTCTCCGCATATTACAAGAGCTTGTCACCCAGCGATAAGCACTGTTATTCAACGAAATTGACATTAGAGAGTGGGATAGTCTTACAGATCTGAAACAGGGATGACGGTTTTTTGTGGGCAATCTGGTGGCAGAAAATGACGGTTTTCAAGTGGCAGTCTATAGACTTGTTCGGCATTGCTGGGAACGCCCACAAAAACGTCATAACCGTTTATGCCGAGGGGGAAAACAAACCATTAGAATTAATGCATGGAGACCTTGTTAGGTGCTTGATCTTTATTTTTTGTGATGATTTCGACTGATTTTTGCTTGGTGCAATGCCGAAAAGTTGCTGTGTGGCGTTCTGTACCTCTAATAAGTTAAACAACCTGATCTGAAGATGTATATGACTGATACACTGCAATGATCTGTCGTTAGTCCCGTCCCCACTGCACCGCAACCCAGTTCTGATGGGGCTTACAGTAACCCTCCTTCGCATCGCAATCAAATAAATCTCACTCCCTGATATTTTGTGATGTCATAATCTATTAAAACATTTATTTAATATTATTATACACAATCCCTTACGAAAATTAGCAATGGTATTACTATAGTAAAAGTATAGTAGGCTAACCATGTCCACTTATTTTCTAAATCAAAAGCTTTGGTTCGAACTACTCCAATGCTAGAGTAGCTTTTATAATAATGATTATCACTATTTTTAAATTAGACATTTTTACTCATATAATATATGTTGTTCTTTTACGTGGATATCATTGTGATATTTCTCTACATCTTGATTTGGGGTGGACTCCATGAACTAAAGCAATGTTTATGCATAGACATATATAATATATTCATGCAGCAGAACACAATTTTGTGTAAAGTGCTCATACAACCATTCATATGCAAATTAAACAGAAAGTGGTATTTACATAGTAAATATCGATTTACACAGAAATACTCTCAATACTCATGAGGCCCATTAATATACTCTCTCTCACACAAAACATGACTAAATAAAGGTGTATTTCTACAATCATCATGTAAATATTGAATTTATCAGCTTTTTCATCTTACACTCATTCCCCCTTATATTAATTTTGATGTACTGCTACTCAATTTATGCTTCAGTGTAATAAAGTCATATACATTCTACCAAACTAATAGATTCTGTTGTTTGTATTTCACAGATTTAGAGAAAAACGTAAACAAAATCATATATAACACAGTATAACAGTAGAAAATGTAATATTATTTTATTTTATTTTGATTAATAATTGCAATATTCCATTTATGTCAACGGAAATTACTCAACTTCAGATAGCTATTGAAGTTACAACAGACATTTACAGAACAATATGTTTAAGTCTATTTAAGTTCATGAACACATGAGCTACATACAGTATAACTATAGTGTAGGTCCTTCACCTGTAAAACCTGTTCTAAATGTAAAGAATCCAGACTGCCTCACCACAGCGAAGAAAAGTTAAACTGAACTCGGAGGAGATACTTCATCTGTATCTGAGCAGGGTTATAAACAATGTACTCGTTATAAAGCAGGGTGTAACCTCCCTTCTGCCCCACCCCGGTCTTCACCGAGGGCCCCATGGGTACGGTCACACCATCCCTGAGAGAGAACGAGAAAAAAATCTTCAGTACAGCACTTATGACTTAATCATGTAAAACATAAAAAAGAAAATCGAAACGCAATCTCACAACGCAACATAGTTGTTTGGGTCAGGCGCAGTTTGCCCCAGGCCTTTTGTGCTATGTTTCCCAGAAGGCAGTTGGTCAGCACTGTAATCTGCATCCAAAAGTTCATTACTATTCCCAAGGGCAACCTGTGAACAAAATATTGAAGTTACTTTTTCCTGTAATCAGTAGCTTGTAATCATTTTAGCTTTTATATCTTTTAAAAATAAGTTACATCACTGTAGCAGTTTTTACTCAAATATACTCCCTAAATGAATGCTGTCCTTTTCTATGTATCCAACTTTCTATTCATCAAAGTATCAGTTTCCACAAAAATATTCTGGAAGTGGGAGCAGATCTTTTCATGTTTAGATACAAAAAACCAACCTCGCTCAGCAACAAGAGTCCTTGGTTGTTCTTCTGATTGGCAAAGCAGTAATTGGCACTTTTAGATGACATGTCTGCAAAGTAGATCCCCTTACCAAACTTGAGGGGGAGGAAAAGTTACAAAATTATATTGGTTTGAATTGTTGTAGTCCATTGCTTTTAAAAAGAATGTTGTAATGGTGGGAGCCGATATTATATTGATATTATTTGTATGATTCAGTATATCTCTGCGTCTCACCATGAATCCGGTCACTGGAGCCTCTGGAGGGGCCACTCGCAGCCCCTGACTCAGGATCCCCACCCAGTTCAACAGACGGGAACCATGCCACAGGAGCATTCTAGCATCCACAACAACAAAAACAACGTGTACTATCTGAAATATGATTGCTGTAATTCAGTGAAATCAGATGAGGCACACACTAGACCAGAATTTAAGGGAGTTCCTGTTTACATAGAGCATAACATAATTGATGAAGTATAATTGAGGAAGGTGGTTTGGTACTTGTTTTCCATCTCAGAGCAGAAGTTGTCCTTCTCGCCCTCTCTCTCCACAGTAAAGATGTCCAGAATTGTCATTGTGTAGTCAGAATGGGTGGGTGCATGAGTGGACTGAAGATATTTCTCTACAACCTTCACAAAGACAGAGAGTTTGTGTCTAAAACTGCATATTTAAACAGACTAGTTAACATCCACCATCCAAAATTCTACTATTAATATTATATTGTACTTCAGCCATAAAAGAGTTAAGTCCCACACTGTACCTTGTATTCATTGCTGTTAGAATCCAGTGGCTGCAGTCGACATCGTAGAGACTGATACTGTCTGTCCAAAGGATGCTCATCATTCTGAATACTAGACTGAACCATTTTCACTGCTATCTGGATGTCACTTAAAGCCTAAAAGACAAAAAACATGACTATAAACATGTGAATGCAGTGAAATATAAACTGTCAATCAATTCTAACCATTCAACATCAGCAATATTGAGCAGCAATTACAATGTCGCACCTCAAGCAAAGCAATTTTCTCCTTTAGCTCATCCTCTGTGCGTATTATGGGGGGTGTCCGCAACCTGAATGAACATCAAGTAGTCATTAAACCATATTAGCCACACTATTGTTAAAAAATTTAGCCTCAGGAAGATTTGTGTGTGTATGTGTTTGAAAAAGGTCTCTCATGATTGCCAAGTTTGCATTCATTTGATCAAAAAGCAGCAATATTATGAAATGTTAGTACAATTTAAAATGAATGTTTTCTATTTTAATATACTTTAAAATGTCATTTATTCCTGTGATGAAAAAGCTGAATTTTTAGCAGCCATTTCTCCAGTTTTTAAAAGAACAGGATTTATTTGAAAAAATGTTAACATTATAAAGTCTTGACTGTGACTTTTGATCAACTGATGTATCCTTGCTAAATAACTGACCTGACTCAAAGCCTTTGAATGGTAGTCTAACTTACCCAAAGTCATGGGGAATGCGAGTGTAAAACTGGTTGCATGCATCCAAGAGTTCCTTATTACTCTTCTTTTTCTTTAAACACTCCTCGATCCTCTTCAAAGAGGCATAGCCTGCTCGAATTTGCTCTGTTGTTAGTTTTCCTTTAGCAAAAAACAAAATAATTTAATGGTTTTCATTTGCAATTTTATCATATAAAAATGTTTGTGTTGTTTAGCTTGAATGCATTCATCATCACTAAGAATATACAAGATTAATTCCATCAGTTTGGTACACAAATGCACACACACTCACCGAGTGGGGCTTTTTTGGTGTCAAACTTCATTTCTAGCACACACTCTTCCATGGCTTTGAGGTCACATATAAGCTCTAGGAGAGACCTTGCTGTTCAGTTGGCAGGGCTTTATTTGAGGAGGAGAGGATGCCACAGCCTTGTCCTTCTCCTGGTGAGAGGAAAAATTAGGTCTATATTTGACTACAATTAGGGATGAAACATAAATGCAATGCAGAGCAATGGATCATGTGGTATTGGGAGCAAAAATCTCTTTTTACCTTGTCTTCAGTGCTGTAGTCTACAAATACCATGTCATATTTCCCTGCAACGTTCTCAAAATTTGCTCGATGCTCCCACTCATTTTTGGTCTTGTCAAAGAATCTGCATATAAGCAGATTATAAGCAAAATCTTTCTTATATCTTATATGAGTAAATAACATGGATTAATTTAAAAAATGTACTTCTTTTTGAACGCATCTTTGGCCTGAGCAAGATTCCCCCCACAGTTAACCAAGCTGTTTTGTCCTACTTTACCCACTGAAGAGAAAAACACAAGAACATGGATGATAATGTGTCATGATAATAAAGGCCAGCCTGGTGAAGAGCATCTGACGTGTTTCGGTACACACCTCGTCCCCACCTCATCCAAACGCTGTAAGTTTTTCCATTGTCGTCCTGAAGCAGCTGAATCAGGTAATATTTATTGTTGTTGAACTGAAGATTAGTCTGTAACAGTTAAAAACCAAAGAAAAGATATCAAACAACGTCATATCCTGCACGTTATGTATTAATAAACACAACCATTCAAAAGTTTATGGTTAAGTTATTTTTTGAAAGAAAGATATTTTTATTCACAGAAAAAAAGACTTTTATTCAGCAAGGATGCATTACACTGATCAGAATTTACAGTTAAGCCATTTACAATTTTACAAAAGATTTCTATTTCATATAAATGCTGTTCTTTTGAACTTTCTATTCTTTAAAGAATCCTAAAAAGGAAGCACAGTTTCCACAAAAATACTAAGCAACTGTTTGCAACATTGCTACTAATAAGAAATGTTTCTTGAGCAGCAAATCAGCATATTATAATGATTTCCGAAGGACCATGTGACACTGAAGACTGGAGTAATGGCTGCTGAAAATTACTTTTGCCATCACAAGAATAAATTTAAATTTTTGAATATAACAACACAGATAACAGTCATTTTTAACTATAATAATTTTATAATAATTTTACAATATTACTGTTCTTATTTTTGATCAAATAAATGCATCCTTGGTAAGCATAAGAGACTTCCTTCATCGACCCCAAACTTTTGAACAGTATTGTAACATCTTCAATATTCACCTGATTCAGCAGGACATCATATACATCAGCCCCCTCACTGTAGACGTGGGCCTGTGAATAACCAAAGAAAAGAAATCTAATGAGAAGAATGCATTGAAGTAAACAAAGTCTGTATTTAGAAGAAAAGGGAAGTTTTAAAAGTGATTACACAACAGTCAAATACTGTACAGTAATTTCACTTCAAATGACCCTATAACACATTTAAGGTAATTACCTTTCCAATTTTAGCCTTGCATTCCGGATCAACTGGGGCTTTACCTTTCATAACCACTGTCTTCACAACCTCTTCTTCAAAACGAGGAAAAAACAACAACAGTCAATCTGAAACGTATGTACTTAACCTACGACGTGATGCATTTGTGAGTGAAAGTTATAAAAAATTTAAAAAACGTAGGACAGGACAAATTTTGTCCAATCGGAATGTGGAAAGTGGTCAATTTGACAGGTGATTGAAGGAGAGGGGTTGAAAAATAGACTTGTTCGGCATTGCTGGGAACGCCCACAAAAACGTCATAACCGTTTATGCCGAGGGGGAAAACAAACCATTAGAATTAATGCATGGAGACCTTGTTAGGTGCTTGATCTTTATTTTTTGTGATGATTTCGACTGATTTTTGCTTGGTGCAATGCCGAAAAGTTGCTGTGTGGCGTTCTGTACCTCTAATAAGTTAAAAAACCTGATCTGACAATGTATATGACTGATACACTGCAATGATCTGTCGTTAGTCCCGTCCCCCTGCACCGCAACCCAGTTCTGATTACAGTAAAGTAACTTACAGTAACCCTCCTTCGCATCGCAATCAAATAAATCTCACTCCCTGATATTTTGTGATGTCATAATCTATTAAAACATTTATTTCATATTATTATACACAATCCCTTATGAAAATTAGCAATGGTATTACTATAGTAAAAGTATAGTAGGCTAACCATGTTTTGTTTTTTTTTGGCGTTTTTATTACAAGTTGTAGCCTATAACCACAATTTTACTACAAATACCATGGTTAGACTATGGTTAGTGTAGCAAAACATGTTGTTTTTACCATAGTTTAACTATAGTAACCAATAACCATGTTTTTTGGTATTTTATATACATATTTTCATGTTATCTTTATTTTACGGCATATATTTGTGAAAATGATTAGGCAGCCGCAGCACACACCACATAGAATAACGCTGCGCATTTCAAGGCACTTCAGTGGACCTTAATGTTACCTGTTTTGTCAATGTTAAAAAACTTTTTAATATATCAATAAGAAAGTACGAAAGGCTTTTACTCAAGTCTTTATCACTTTATTAAAATTAAGCAAAACAAAACGACAAATGTTTACTTTCACAAGCCGTCTCGTATAGGCTTGTAGTAGCCTAAGCGGTCTCTTGCTCAATTAGGTAACAAAAAATGTTGGGAAACGACACCTCTGGCCATTTCGTTGGGTCGTTTGTCCAGTCACAGATACCGTACGGACAGTCCAACCCAATACGGCTCAGTTTTTATGCGTATGTTGCTCTGTCGAGCGGCAGAAATAATTTTATCTAGGCCATTCTGAGTCAACACCATGCTTTTCCAATGAGGGGGAAAGGACTGTATTCCCCCACGCCAACTCCGCCCACACAGCTATGACGCGACACCGATCAAGTCTATAGCACCACATAATTAATACTTAAAGACTTAATAAGCTATTTATTTTCAAACTTAAACTTTTTTATTTTATTTTAATCTAACCTAAAACATGGCCTACCTATATATTGACTGATTCGTTATTATTGTTTGGTAACACTTAACAGGTTCCATTGACATTAAACTACTTTAGTTAACATGAAATAACAATAACCGCATTTATTAATCTTAGTTCATGTTAATTTCAACTTTTAATAATGCATTATAAAATCAAAAATTGTGTCTGCTAATATTATTTAATGGAGCTAACATGAACTAACAATTTTATTTTATTTTATTTATCCTTTATTTTACCAGGATAGTCCCACTGAGATGCAAAATCTCTTCTTCCAGGGAGTCCTGGCCAAAATGGCAGCACAAAAAAATTCACAATAAAACAATTACAAACACATAAAACAAACTAAATTTTGCCCTACATTCAGATGATTACAAATATCTGACAAAAAAACAAAACAAAAACAATAAACAATAAATAGTTGTATTTTTATTAATCAATGTTAACAAATAATATTAACTAATGCAACAGTTAGCTATTGCACATTGTTAGTTAATGTTAACCTGCTTTAACTAAAGTTAACTAAAGTTAACTAATGGGACCTTATTGTAAAGTGTTACCTAATGTTCTTTCATTCATTTGAACTTTAATCTTTTGCCCTCTAATCTTGAAACACTTGTTTTTTTATATTTTTGTGTATTTTTTTTTCTTTCTTTAGTAAAAGATCTTTAATAAAGTTATTTAACCTGTTAGGAAAACAACACTTTTTTTTTACTTACTAAATTATATATTGTGATAAAACCATATACCATGACAAAAGCTTCAATGACTATTGTGAAAATTTGATACGGTCACATACCTAATGTACATACAATTTGACAGGACTATAAATAATTACATAATTAGCCTATTAAATAGTCTGAAGCAAAACAATTAAAAAACTTTGTGCACCTTCTCTATTCTGATAAATTAAATAATTGTGTTTGTAAATCTCTATATAGCCCCTTATTAAGCTAAAACACGAAATTTGAAAAATTTGCATTGCGCCCCTTCATTTTTTTAATGTGCTCCTAAATTTTTCAACTTAAGAGCACATGCGCTCCTTGGGAAAAAGGTAAGTGTTAAGCCCTGTTAAATATGTTTTAAAGTAAAAATTACTGTTTTTAGTACTGCTGTTTGCTTGTGCACTCAAGTAATTCATAATTTTCATCATCCAAAGAAATCATGTTTACTGTCACGCATGCACGTTCTCATAAAATTGGCAGAACAGACCAATGTTGGTGGATTTGAATGATGCTTATCAGGTTCTCTGAGAGAGCTCTACATGTTTGGCAGAGCCGGAGAGATACAGATAGAGTGTGCGAGGGGAGAACACCATGCCACATGCCCACAGAGGCATAAAGAGGGGGCGGGTGACTAGTAGACACCAGTGCTTATTAACGCCATTAGGGATGAGGTCCTCTCATTCCCCAAGATTCTGGGTGCTCGATGTTGACTTGCAACCAGACCCAAGATTGCAAAGACACCATTTGCATTTAAATGACTGGAGTCCTGAGCCAGCCGATAATAGGCTTTAAGGAAGGACTGGCAACCCATTTATCCACCTACTCACAGCGACTATACAATCAGACTTCTGCACCATGCCACCATGCTGCGCTAATCTGTACTTCCTGTACACAACGCTGCTAAGACACAGTCAAGAGCAGAGGAATGATAACTAGCACAAAAACACGCCTGCATGCACTGATAACTGTGAATGCAGCGACACTGGAAAGGACACAAGAACACATGAATTTAGTGTCAACAAATGCTTCAATGCAATGCTGAGTGCTTGGATGAACAAGGCAGTATGTGCTTAAAAAAAACAAAAAAACTTACTTTAAGATACATTCCTGGTCTTATGGTGCATAATTCATCAGTCCACGTTATTTCAAATAAATGCTTTTCTTTTTGCTTTATGTTTTCACAAATCAATCAGTTTTCAATTAATAAATAATGTCCCCAAACAATACATTCAGTAAGACGAAAGGTATTGTGCATTTGTAGTCAATTACTTGGCATGCCACTGTTGCAAGCTTGTACAACAGTAAATTACTTATTTAATAATGACTTAAAATTAGTAAACTGAAAATAATAACTGCAATTACCATACATTTTCAATGCAGTTTTTATGTAGTAACAATGATGTAATATATTTGATGAGCTTTCCACTCTCTTACTGTCTCTCTCTCTCTCTATCATTCATTTTCTGTTCTTTCTCCTTGTTCTTTGTGCACGTGACTTCATTAAAATCTATGACTCATCTGATACCACCAGATCTAATAATCTTCACTCAACTCCTAATGAGGGTGCAAGGCTTTGATGAAATACTGCCTCAGCATTTCATCTAGATGGAGGAACATAGACAGGATAAGTGCAAGTAAAAGGAACAGAGAAAACTTGTGCAGATCTGACTGCCTACATTTCGTCTACACATATGCAAAATACTACCGACTTTACACCTTTGCTCCATCGGAAAAATTATGTACTCTAGGAATTATCCAGCTACAGTGGGCAACACCTTGCACACAGGTCAAGTGTAGTAACATGACACTCAAAGTTCAATCAATTTTAACTCTGACCTCATCAACTAAAGATTACCAGATAATCGGGAATATCATTATGTGGGTACTGCCAGCACACAAATCTAACCAGGATGCCAGAAGCTGATCCTGTGCACATACAGAAACAATCTGTACAACACAACGACAAAGACATTATGAAATTAATCATCATCATATACATAACAGATATTCTACAGAAATTAATAAATAGTACAATTAAGGGTGCGCCGATCCGATATTCAGTATCGGTATCGCTCCGATACTGGCATTTTCTGCCGGATCGGGTATCGGTCAGACGAGACCGATCCAAATCCGATATAGTGCGTATACTATTTTGTGTTATTATTAAGCCCCACGAAAGCCACACAAACATTATAAAGCACAATAATGTTTTCGGGCACTATATTTCAAGTGTTCTGAATCTGTTCCATAGTTTAATGTGAGGCACAGCTGAATATTCAAGTCAAGTTCACGTAAACTCTTCTCTCCGCTGCGGCTGTCTGTCATCCTCCATTCAGCATTCAAACTGCGCGTCGCATTCGGTTATGACAGTCAAGATGATGAAACTCTCTTCAAGATCATTAAATGTTCCTAATGTTATACTTGATCTGTAAATAAAGATATATGGTTTTTCATAAAAGGAATTTATCTTGCTGGAGTTTCGTGCTGTTTCTAAATCGTGTAAATTTCTAATGGATATCTGGTTAGATCACAAGACTGGAGTAGAGAGCACTATGAATTGTTCGTCACGAGCACAGTAACTGAAATTAAAAACCATTCAAAGAAAAGGCTCAATAAACTAACGCACATATTTGATACACTACACATCAATATCTCTTCACTTTGAACTTCTCTATGCGGAGCGCTGCGCGCTGTGACTCCGTGTTGCTTCAAGCGCATCATTCTGCGCATGGGATGCGCATACGCGCTTTGTGCCGCTCTGTATTTGGAGCCTTTAGTATTATAATAATTTTGCGCAATGAAAGATTATTAATAGCCTTTCTTGTTTGTCTTATCTATCATATGTTACTGCCTCATTACTCTGCTATACATTTAAAAGAACTGTATTTTAATTTATACAGTAGTCAACATTTGAAGTGGATCAAAAAAGTTTATCAAAGTTGTCCTAAGACAAGAACGGGTATTGTTTTGGTTTTAGGACAACTTTGATGAAAGGTTTTGATCCACTTGAAATGTTGACTACTATAGTATATACAGTATATATATTACTTGTTTTTCATGAACGTATTTTACAACAATACAAAGAGCAATGTGTAGGCCTACCAGATTTAGTCCTACACTTATTCACTTTTATTTGTTACCCACTAAATAATGTATTTTTTAACTAAAATTTAGGATTTCATAAAATTATTGTGGACTCGTTATTTTTCTAGAGTAACTTTTGCTACTGAATTATCAATTTACCTAGTTTATAATAGTATTTTTGTCATAGACTATGATTATATATTTTTTTGTTTGTTATTTTTCTTTATAATGAAGCTGTCTATATTTAGTAGATTGTGTGTAACATACAAAAGAGTGATGATCGACCTACACATTGAGGTATAGAAATTCTACACTGATTTAAAAAAATGTGCTGGTATCGGATTGATATCGGTATCGGCAGATACTCAGAATTTTTGGTATCGGATCGGTATCGGTTCTGAAAAAGTGGTATCGAGCCAGCTCTAAGTACAATCACTTTTTACATGTTTTACCACCATTCAGCAGTGCTGCTACTTAATCTCATTTTAGCTTGTAGTCTGAATGTGATGAGATAAAATGAACACAAAGACATTAAGACAAAATATCTTTCTATTGCATTGTCTACACTAGCTGGTAACAAAAAAAAACATGCTGTATGACCATACAGCCCAGTTAATGAACAAATTACTTTTATTTATTGAACAAATCTGAAAAACTCACCATCTCAAAGCTTATCTAATGAATGAATGAAAAAAGTATCAGTTGTGATCATCAGTAAGATTTTTTTTTATGTAATACTTTTATTCAGCAACAATGTATTAAATTGATCAAAAGTGATAGTAAAGTCTTTGGCATTTAAAAAAAATAATTAAATAAATTCCTTTCTTTTAAACTTTCTATTCATCAAAGAATATATACATTTTCCACAAAAATATTATGCAGCAAAAAAAGGTTTTCAACATTGATATTTCATTGAAATTTCAGCTTTACCATTACAGGAATAAATCCACTTCCAAATACAGGTGCATCTCAATAAATTAGAATGGCGTGGAAAAGTTCATTTATTTCAGTAATTCAACTCAAATTGTGAAACTCGCGTATTAAATAAATTCAATGCACACAGACTGAAGTAGTTTAAGTCTTTGTTTCCACAACATTCTAATTTATTGAGATGCACCTGTATATACAACATTTTTATATTCAAAACGTTTAAATCGTAATATTACTCCACAACATTACCACTATTTTCGGTTAAATAAATGGAGACTTGGTGACCATTAGAAAAGAAAAAAAAACTTACTGATCCCAAACTTTTTTACTGTAGTGTAGGTACAGAATGACCAATTTAGAGCTGGGGGGCAAAATCAGAATTGTGCAGGAAACATGCTGAGGAAATTTCTTGATATGAGTCATTTTAAATGGTTTTTAAACTCTCAGTCATCAAATTAATTACACTTCAACCAGTCTGAACCTTATGATTACGAGACCTCAGTGCTGCTACTGTGATGTCTCTAAAATGATTATATCATGCTGCTGATGATTACGTCCCTTTATGATGTGTATAACCAACTTTGTCCTGACTTACAGGCACAGAGGTGTATATACAAGGGTGTTTGTGTGTGTTGTTATTTCTGTGTGTGCGTGTCAGGTGTCAGTATACATCTTACAGGCCCATGAGAAATTGGGGTTGAGAGGTTAAAGTCTTTCTCGCATTTTTTTTCTCTCTTAATCCAGACAAATATCCAGGGCTCATCAATAATGAAAGCGAGCTGGAATCATGTAAAATTCTCTAAGAAGCCCATCTCCCTTTGTACTTTAACATTATGACAGCGATTAATATTTCATATGTATTGTTACGTTGCACTGTGTATGTGTGTCTGCTTTTTTCTTTCTTTCTCTTCCTTCTTTCTGCAAAATGGCCACTGCCCATCACCCAGGCTTCTAAATTGTGGTTTACTCTGCAAATGAAAGCTGCTGCAGCCTTTCCCTTGAGGAGAGCACTTCTTGACACTTTTGTTTTGACAGCGCTAAAGCAATATCTGTTCTTGGCGATAGAGTGTTTTCAAGGTGCTGTTCATTTTTTCACTCAGTCTGGTCTGAAAGTTAACACTCTCCCCAGATGATTCAATCAAGCAGAGTTTAATGAGGTAAAATGAGGCAAAAGTCCAGCAAATTTCAGCAAATCCACAACCTTGTGTTGTGCAACATCTTGCCAATGCAGAATGTTGCCCGCAAGGAAATACTCTCCTTTTCAACAGTGCAAAATACAAAGAAACTATCAAAAGCGTCAGCTGACTAACTCTGATCTGCAAGCAAAGGTGGAATAAAACCATGCACTGAAATTCATAACCAGTGAAGGTTTAAAATCAGCAAGCCCAGCGTCATTGAGAAGATAGTAGCACTTGTTACTCACCCACTTAGGACAACAATGAAGTCCATGACGTTCCAGCCGTTCCTCAGGTACGAGCCCTTGTGGAATACAAATCCCAAAGCGATGATTTTTATTCCAGCTTCAAAGCAAAACATTCCTATAAAGTAGGGCTCTGTTTTTTCCTGAAAAAAGAGAATGGATTGGGTGTAAGACAACAGAAGCTACCTTCATAAAAGGGGGAAAAATCTAGGTAGGGTGCTCATCAGATTTTGAATGTTCTATTCAACAAATTCATTATTAAGATTTAATCATTATTAAGCTTTAATTTAGGTTTTACTTACTGAGGTAAGAGTGCCACTACTTGCCTCTGTTTAAACAAGCACTCAGAAATATGTTGCAGAAGTAAAATAGTAACGAAACACTCTTTGAATGGGAATAATTAGCTTGTGGTGAGTGATTCAA